ACAATGTCTTTTCATTTTAAGAAATGACTGAACACAGTAGGGTACCTGGTTACCCAAATCTATTTAATATATGATATGACAGAGACATTTATGCTATGCCGACAACAAGGAATCCACTTTCCAGTAACTATTTTATGATTATACAGTATTCAGGTTTCAAGGACCCTTCATGCCTATTTAACTGCAGTTATGCCTGGGTTTTCCTAGGAAGTATCCTCCACAATCCATCACTGCGATTTAACAGAAATAAAGTCTGATCTCATGGAAGTAAATGCATTTGTCCAGGGACACACATAAAGCATAGCATTTCCCTTATGGTGTGTATTGAAGATGACAGGGTTTTGTTTTACTTCAATGTTTCTTTTGTGCATTCACTAAAACATGTATTTTTCAAGCTGATCTCCCTAAGTGACATGACTGATAATGTAGAGGTTCACAGTTGTGTGGTATATGTTTTCACATAGAGGTCCATGTGGAGGTCAACACTGGCAGTCTTCATCAATGGCTCTCCACTTTATTGTTTTTAGACAAGATCTAACACTGAACCTGAAGTTCAAATTCAGCTAGACTGTCTAGTCAGTAAGACTGGATCCTCTTGTTTCGGTCTTCCCAGAAATGAAGCTATAGGCATTTTACAGGGATGCTGGAGATCCATCTCATTTACTCATGCCTACTCAGCAAGTACATTACTGACTGAGTTATCTCCCCACCCTCACAATGCAGCTTTTATTTAAATCCCTGAACATCTAGAAAGACTGATGGGAAACCCTTCCACAACCCAGATACCGAACAAGATGAACAATATATAAAATCGCAGCTATATGTTGCAAATAATCTATCAGCTTATTAACTGTGTCAGTTTGGGCATGGTATTAAATATTAACCCCCTTTGACTCACTCATAAGTCATAGTAACACTTAAAAGTTAGTTAAGTAAGCTAAGTAAGATCTCTATCTACTCCAATCTCTAAGAGCAGAAATTAGCAATAAAGGCAAAGAGTTTTTAATTAAAAAGTGATCCTAACTGAGACTCAGCTCTGACTGAATTTTTAGCACGATGCTCTGTTTCTTCCGAGGCTTCCAGGAAATGTAATTTTCAGAGAAAACTTTAGTTTCAGATTCATGAGAATCATTGAAACTAAACTGTCCAACAGCAGCTGTCAGGTTGTCAAAGAGTTTGAGTCTGAGTCTGCTGTGTTTAGAAAAACCAAAAATCAAAATCAACAAACAAACACAAAAAAACCCAAACCACTCAAATTCTTGTTTAGTCCTTAGCCTAAAACACTCCTGAGGAGGGTACTGTTTCCACTTAATAGAGGCTGGACTATGGATGGCTACCAACTCTCCTTTAAATGTGATGAGCAGATCGCTTCAAAGGGTTCAAGTTCCTGTTCCCTATAGGAAACCAGGAAGCAATGCTCCTAGAAGGGGCAGGGACAGTGATTATGCTGGGCTACATGGTGAGTATTCTTCTTTAGTATAGCCGGCTATCAACAAATATTTGTTAGACCAAAGGCAGATCTTGTTTGAACAGATAAACTCATGGTATGAGTTTTCCATGAAGAGAAAAAAAAATCCCTTAAAAGAAAGTGTATTAAACCAAGTAATAACCCTAACTTCTAAGGCAGCATGTTGAAGTATTATTAGTCCTGACAATTCCATCAAGGTTGAGCACATAAGGTAAAGGAATCATCTATTAAAATAAATTCTAAGCTGAAGGTAAAGACACAGCATGAGAAAGTTAGATAAAGCCATGCCATGCTGGCCTGAGGTAATGTGGGCTGGAGTATGGGCTGCCCATAGGCAGGACAGATGATCCAAACAGATGACCCAAGGTTCGGAGAGTGGGTATTAATAGAAATTACCATAAGCTGTCTACAGTTTACTCATTCACTTGCAAGAATGATATGCTGTCATCTAACACATACATTTTCAAACTCACAATATTTTCTTTTGAGACAGTATCTTGCAAGTAGCCCAGGCTGGCCTTGAAGTGACATTCTTCCAGCCTTAGCTTCCTGAGTACTTGGGATACAGGGATACTACTGTCCCTGACTCCCATTTACAACACAGCCAGATGTTTCAACAATCAAATAGAACTCAATACATTAGAGTCACAAGAGAATTTGAACAACTAATAACTTTTATTATAATGCTATTTCTCTCCAGATACATTATTTATTTTGTGATTTTAGAAATTTTCAATATTTACTTTATTACTTCATAGCCCTTACTTTGAATCATTTTTACATGAGTAAAATTAAAATTTAAGATTTAACTAATATCATTAACTTTAGTTATTCCAATTAATAAAGTCATGATTGAATGACTTATATGTTTTATCTGTTTTGTTTTGTTATTGTTTACAGCCATAAAATATATAGCCTTAACATTTATGCCACAAATAGGAGTTCTCTTTGAATTACAATAAAATTTAAATCTAACAAAAATTAATCTATAATCAATAGTTTTGAAACTCACTGAAAACCACATACTTGATAATCCAAAGCCAATCTTCCATAAAAGGACTTTGTATCAGAGAAGGAATGAGGCCTACTTTTATTTATTTATTTGTTTACTTATTGCATGCCTGTTAGGAGGTATGTGTCGGCACTGCAGATGTATGCAGAAGTATGAGGTATTCAACCTCACATATAAAAGTGGAACGACAACTTGTAGGAGCTGGCTATCTCTTTTCATCCTGTGTTTCAGGTTGTAAGGCTTCCTGGCCAACACTGAGATGTCAATGTCAATGTCCTGAAAGGACATCTCCCCAGCCTGATGGAGCCCTTTTCACACAAAGTTAATGCATTGTTGGGCAATCAGCTGGGGGGAAGTGAGATACACCTGACCCATGGCTTGTCAAACCATGAGTCTTTTTGTATGGGAAGGTCACATATTGCCCATAAAGTAGTAGAGAACATCTTTTCTAGGACGAAGATACTGGAAACAAGATAACGCTAGGAAAGTTCTAGGTCTATGAATTCTACTTCATAAATTTACTAGAATTTTACTGTACCATTTATCAAAAAGTAACACATCTTTTGAAAGACAGACTCTAAACAATTTGTACAATGCAAATATTTTTTGACTCTGTTCCTGGTAGGTTTTGATTCTTTGTATGCTGTCTTATTTGGAGGACTGTGTTTCATAATATTAAGTAAACTTTGCTTTGGGGACTGAGAGATAAGAGCAGAAATCTATTCTGTGAGGGATATTTTAAACTAAATAATTCAATTTTAAAGTGTTAGCAAAACTCTCCTCACTCAAAAAATATACATTGTGATCCTCCTCCAAATCCTGTCTTCCTCAAAATGAAGGTCGCTTGGGTTTTGGTAGAACTGCAAATACTGCAAAAAGTCTTTCATGCTACTAATTCTTGCTACAAACATGTAGTAAAGTCATAAATTGGTTCCAAAGTATATATCCAAGGGCCCCTTGTCTCTGTGTTGTTGTGATATGCTTGTGACAACAAAGCTAAGAACTCTTGCTGAGATGTCAAGCAAAGGAAAACCATACTGATATTCCACAGACAGACACAATTATCTTTATTTCATTCAACCCCATTTTTGCATTAGCAACAATAGGAATAAAGCATGTGAGTAGAAGTAGTTATGATTTTACCATCTATCAAGGATTAAAATGAATAAAGGGCCTATTTTGTGAAATGTATGTTTTCATTTTGGAACCTGGTTTTATACCTGTTTCTTAAGACAGAAGCTTGTAAAATTACTGTAAGTGACACACAGTGTTTCTGAATATTCTATTTTCTGGGAAAGACTTTACTGACATAATTGAAGAACTTTGACCCTGCATTAAGTACATAAATTTGCATTCATTTTCCACTTACATGAAGTAAAATATAGCTTCTTGTAGAGGCAAGGAATGCATTCATAGTTGTGTGGTTGCTAAGATAACAGATGGCAAAATATATGCTGTAAAAGTGTTGGACAATCTAGTAACTCATGCAATCTTTGTATCCTACACAGCTGTGAGGCATCCCAGAAACAAAGACAGATCTGGGCACCTAGATGAATACATTTGAAATCAACATGTTTCAGTCACTCTAAGATATGAATTGTGTCCACCTTAGGCTAAATGCTGTGAGCTTGGAAGGGAGAGTATTACGACTGAGATGTTTACTGCAGAGGGAATTGTGACTACAACAGTATTCAGAGTCCTTTACCTTGGAGACCAATGCTAACGAATTGAAGAACCACTGATTCAGATGTACAAGTCTTCTAGATGCTGGAGTCTAACCATTTGCTCCTCTCTTACATCCACACTGTTTCATTACTCACTCTGGGTGCCAAGAGAAACATAGCAACACCAGGCTCCTAAGGGCTCGTGTTATTCAGATGGCAATATATAACTCTGTCTTATTCTACAATACCCAGTGAGGTTTTGGAGAGCATACGGCATAATGTTCAGTCTCTTTGGTACTGCCAATGACAATCAGGGCCAGAGGAGAGTTTATTCATTAAGTAGATGTAAGAGTCTGGGGAGACCCAATCTCAGGGAACAGGAAAAGAAGACTGCATGTCAGGAGCAATTTGAGATCATCTATTTTGAGCTTGTACAATTTTTCATTTTGAACAATTTGATAGAAATTCACTAATCTTTTTTCCTATCTTCAAGAAAACACAGCAGTATTTTTTATGACAAGATCTAGTGTTTTCAATGGGCCAGATATTCTCAAACAATATAAGTGAGAAATGTCAGTTTGTTGCATAGGATTTATTAATATGTAATATACTATTTAAAATAGCAATTCCTATTAGAGAAATATTGCCTACTTACCTTAGATGTATAAAATTGGAAGATAAATTAAATACTATTAAGCTTTCAGTCTCTAAAGACTGTAGACTGTATGAATGAGATAAAACAGTTTCTTCTCTCTCAAATACTTAGAAATCATTTCTGTATATTTCCTATTTTCATTTTCTAAACTTTTTTTGCCATTTATGTAAATGAAGCTTGATCCACGTAAGACTCACATACCTTTATCACATGATGCTTCTCTTGGAATATAGGGATCTTAAACATTTGGCACCAGTATGTTGTGCCTTTGTTTGGAATGGGGACCTGTATTAAGAAAAAGGGGAACAAAATGAAAAGTCACATTTAATGTGTGACATGACAATAAATTCAATAACATAAGCAAGCAGTCTCATACACTTTTGGTTAGCTCATCTTTTTGTGTAAAAACATAAAAGAGAGAGAGAGGGGGGTGTGGGGGGAACTTACGTTTTGATTTACCAGATCAAAGTACGGTAAGACTGTAGACAATACGTTGGCTTTCTCAGGATTCAGTAACCGTAGACTCTTTGTGCCCCTATTTGAGTCGTGGTACTTGGGACCAGATTCTCCAGGATCTTCACGATGATAGGCCCAGATAACTCTCACTGTGCTATCCTGGTAATCAGACATAAGTATGTTATGTCTCATAACAGCATTTTGCTTATCTCTAACTTATATTTAAAGAACTCTCACTTAAGCAGCACATAAGAATGAAGAAATGAGAATAAAGATATTTAGAGTATCCAGGGAGTTGATTCTTTCCCACACCACACCCCTAAAAAACAAAACCAAAATTGACAAAGTACTAGTGAAACTAACCAAAATAAAGAAAAAGAATACTGGAATTAACAAAATTGGAGATTGCCAGGCAGTGGTGGCGCACGCCTTTAATCCCAGCATTTGGGAGGCAGAGGCAGGCAGATTTCTGAGTTTGAGGCCAGCCTGGTCTACAGAGTAAGTTCCAGGGCAGCCAGGGCTACACAGAGAAACCCTGTCTTGAAAAATCCAAAAAATATAAAACTAAGAATAATAATTTAAAAAAATAAAATCAGAGATTAAAAGAGAGAATGTTATCAAAATACAATCCAGAAACTCATTAAAGAATCCCTTGAACACTGATATTTAAAAAATGGAACACTTAGAAGAAATGATAAATTTCTAGAAATACATGTGCTGTGTAGCAATTTCCTCTAGAATAAAACCTTCCATCTTTGAGGGATGTTATGTAAAGTACAGGGTCTTCTAAGTGTGGTGAAACAGTCTATCCTAGAAGTAGTTTCATTAAACTCCGGAGGTAAAAAAACTGAACAACCTCAGGAAGTTCCTGAAACTGACCAGATGCTCTAGACTCCTCATTCCCAAATGAATGTAAGCTCAAAGAACTTCTCAGAGGCACACTCAGACAAGAGGAGCCTCAGAATACTTTCTAATAAGCTGAGTCACTTCAAAGATAGACAAGCTGGGCTGCCTAGAAAAGGCTCAGATCCCATCTGCCCGTATATCTGAAAGAAACAGAGACCAGCTGAACTGATTAAAAGAAAGCGTACAGCCTGTTGAACTGCCTGCAAGTTGTCCAGTGTACTCCAAGTAAGCTGTGACATATGCTGAGTTGAGCTTTTACTAATGAAGCTGCCTGAATAATTCAGTTCCTCTGTGTATCCTCTGATCCATATTCCTGTTGCTATTCCCAATAAAATGCATTGGTTCACCAACTTTGACTTTGGTACTATCTTTAGTCCATTGTTAGTTCCTTGTCAGGTGAGTAGATGCTTCTTCGTGTCTACCCATGAATGATGTTGCACATGACCAACCTATGTTAAACTAAGAGGATGTAAATGATTTAAACATATGTATAACCACCAACAAGATTTAAATAGTAATATGACAAAGAAAAGCTTGTGACTAGATGGATTCATTGCCAAATTCTACCAAACCATTTTCCATATTGAATATACAGGCAAAAATTCTCCTGAAAGTTCTATCAAACCGAACTCAAAAACACATTACAAAGATCATACTCCATGATTAAGTTTACTCATTCCCAGATTATTATGGCTATTCCTAGTTGTCAACTTCACTGCATCTGGGATGAACTACAATCCAGAAATGGAAGGCACACCTGTGATCCAGATCTTGAGGGTAGAAGACACAGGTTTCTGATCTGGATCTTGAAGCATATTGGCCATGAACAGCTTAGGCCCAGGCAAGGTAGTACTTATCTCATTCTCTTGGTAATTCCAAGGGACTGAGGCAAGCAGATCTCTGAGTTTAAGGTTAGCCTGGGACAAAGCAAGTTCCAGATCCCAAGTGTGGTCTTTAATTTGGGCCACTTTTAATCTGGGTCATACATTTTTCTGGAGGCCTACTGTAAGGACATTGAAAGAAGGAAGTTACACTCTTCTTTGTCTGCCTGCACTTGCTTGCCAGTACATCTGTTGGAATCTACTTCTTCAGAATTCCAGCTTATACAGAAGATCAACTGAAATAACTAGCCTTGTGGGACTGAAAAACTACTAGATTCTTGGACTTCCCATTCACAGCTGCCCATTGTTGGGTTAGTTGGACTGAAGACTGTAAGTCATTACAATATTCCATAACTTTTGTGACTCTAGAGAACCCTGATTAATACACAGGTTGTAAGGTTTGTGCAATACACACGAGCCAGTAAGCATCATACAGCCCATAGACAAAAATCATCTATTCATACCAACCAGTTCAGAATAGGCCTTCCATAAAGTTTAGTATCACTCCATGACAGATGCCCTGAAGATACCAGGAATATAAGGAAGTATCTCAACCAAAAAAGGCTGTATATGACAAAACTGTACCAACACAAAACATAAAGGAAAGCTGATAACATTCTCTGAAGTCTAGAATAAGAGAAGTGCCTACTTGACCTTTAATCACTGTAGGATTAAAGCCTTAGAGCACTGAGAAGGAAATAACATTATATAAGTAAGAGATAAATAAGCAAAATTATTGGTATTTGCTGATCACATGATCCTATATTTTAAAGACACTAAAGATTCCAACAGGAAATTCTAATACCTGATAAACACAAGGGGCCAAGTAGCAGAACACAAAATCCATACACAATTATCACTGGCTTTTCTATACGTCAAGAATAAATTTATTAAGTTTGAAATTAGGGAAAAACACCATTTGCAATTGCTTCAAGCATGAAAAAATACCTAGGGAAAAAGTTAAAAGAAAAAAATTAATAGTTCATCCTGAACAGAAAATTGATCCAGAATGGATCAAATATTGGCCTGATATAAGACTGGAAACTTTGAAGCTGATACAGGGAAACACAAGTAAAGAATTTCACAATCTAGGCTTAGACAAGGACTGTCTTTAAACAGAACTGGAAATAATTCCAAAAATTGAAAAATGGGATGACAGGAAATCAGACAATACCTGCACATTGAGAGAAGCAATTGTCAGGGGAAAGAGGCTGCCAGACTATGGAATGGAAAGTCTTACCCGGTGATTCATCAGAAAGGGGAAGAGTGTCTTAAGTACATAAAGAACTATGAAAATTAATTACCAAACCTTCAAATCAGCCAAATATCAAATCAGCTATTAGGCAGAATAGCCTATTCTCAGAATAAATACAAATGACCGACAAATACTTGAAACAGGAGTTTCAAATTCTTTGCCATTAGAGAATTTCAAATTAAACTTTGAGATCTTTGGGGGTGTCCTTGCTGCCACTTTGATTACAGAATCAACTACATGTGATCCAGTCCTGACAATGGAGGTTTTACTTAGTGGCATAAGATGTCTATAGTAATAGGTTTCCACATGGCCCCCAATGGCTCTTAACGCTAATTGTCCCTCCCCATATTCCTTCCCCTACTCCTCTCTTCTTTCCCTTCTAGTCTTGAGATTCCATTTCTCAGTCAGAACAGTCATCACTAAGTAAACCAATGACAACAAATACTGGAGAGGGTGTGTGAAAATCCAGCCCTTAATTCACTGCTGACCTAGTCTTGAGATTCCATTTCTCAGTCAGAACAGTCATCACTAAGTAAACCAATGACAACAAATACTGGAGAGGGTGTGTGAAAATCCAGCCCTTAATTCACTGCTGACGGTAGTGCAAACATGTGCAGCCATCTTGAAAGTCTGCGTGAAGTTTGCTCAAAAAGTGGAAAAATGGAACCATATAACCCAGCTAATCCACTCCTGGGCATCCCCCAGGGACTCTATTTCCTGTTACAGAGACACTTGCCTATAGATGCTCATTTCTTGTCTACTCAAAATAGCTAGGAGATGAGATCAGCTTAGATGCCCATCAACTGGTCAGTGGATACCAAAAATGTTGTACATACATAGCTGTTCCTAAAAGGAAAGTGTGGTATTATTAGGAAAGCTGATGCAACTGAAAATCCCCATGTTAAATGAAAGGAGCCAGACTCAGAAACCATTTCTATGTTCTCTGTAGTCAGTAGAACTAGAGTTTAAATTATATGTATGTGTGTCTTTGCAGACTTGAAACTAGACTGGATATCATGAGAGAGCTGGACAGACGAGATCTTCAAGACAAGGGAAAGACAGATAACAAAGCAGAAAAAACTATCAAGAGAAAGAAAGGAATGAGCCAGAAAGAGCTGGAGGCAGAGAGGAGGGCAGTGTGGGAGGGCAGTGTGGGAAGGCAATCGGGGAGAGCAGTGGGGGAGGGCAGTGAGGGAGAGCAGTGGAGGGAGGGCAGTGGGAGAGGACAGTGGGGGAGGGCTGTGGGGGAGAGCAGTGGGGGAGGGCAGTGAGAGAGAGCAGTGGGGGGAAGGCAGTGAGGGAGAGCAGTGTGGGAGGGCAATGTGGGAGGGCAGTGTGGGAAGGCAATGGGGCAGAGCAGTGGGGGAGGGCAGTGAGAGAGAGCAGTGGAGGGAGGGCAGTGAGGGAAAGCAGTGGGGGAGGGCAGTGGGAGAGGGCAGTCGGGGAGGGCTGTGGGGGAGAGCAGTGGGGGGAGGGCAGTGGGAGAGGGCAGTCGGGGAGGGCTGTGGGGGGAGAGCAGTGGGGGGAGGGCAGTGGGGAAGGCAGTGGGGAAGGCAGTCAGGGAGGGGAGCAAACAGCAAAGTATAACAACATATCTGTATGAAAATGTTACAACTAAATCTACTACTTTGTATGCTAACTTAAAAATAATTTAACATAAAAGATACTTTCAAAAATTGTTAAATTACCCTAAGACTCTTTTCCACAACAGATTTTCCTATCATGGATTTACAGAAAGTGCAAATACAGAAGGCAGTTCTCTGTCCAGGCTTGTTTACATTACATCTCAAATCTGTACTCAGTATATGAATTCCAGGAATTTACAAGGGGAAGCAAGAGAAACTGGCTTTGACTGAACCAAGGAGAGAAATGGCTGGAAGGGTTGTGGGATGGGAAGGGAAGAGTTTGCAGGAGAGGGGAAAATGACCGAGTCCCTCTTCCGGAGATAAGGGTGTTTGCCAGCTCCTTAAAATGAAAAGTCTGAGAATAAATAATAAAGAGAAAGTTTTAAGAGTTCTCTTTGCTCTACTGTATGATGACTATAAGTTTTCCAACAGAATTATAATTATGCTGTGTGATATAAGAAAAGAGATGCCAGCCTGTCCACGTGTGTTCTTTTGGCTCCTTAGGCTGAAAGGAAATCAGAACTACTTCAGATTGTTTAATATTATCTTTTTTGAAGCTTTAGTGAATTAAATAAAAAATGTTATTGTTCTATCAAAATGAAATGGCACAAGCAACCAGTGGAAAGTGTCACAGGAGTGTGTCTCCTCTAGATATTTAATTTGCATATTCATGAAGATAATTTTATATCTGAAAATAAGAAACCTCATATAGCACACCAATAGGTGATTATAATCAACTGACTATTCATCTGGATTTTAGAAATTGACAAAGCCAAGTCAGTTACAGATCGGATGAATTGCTTCTTCCCACCCAGCGTCATAATTATCTTTTGTATAATACTGTTCTTCAACCTTTATTATCTATTTTCAAATTTTATAGGAAAAAAAGCTAAGGCATACTTTTATTTCTTTTAAATAAACAGCCTTAAAAGAGATTTTCAAAATGTTAAATTTGCATATAAATTTGCTGAATGAATTTACGATTTTAAAATTGTGGGTGTTTGTTAAGTTTGTAGAGAGTTCAAGAAATTGCTGAGGATTATGTGACTTTGATGCTACTGTTTTTCCACAGCTCCTCCTCGAATTGCATCAAACACTTCTTATATGCAAACACACACTGCCTGTGCGAGTTGTCACTCTCACGTGACTTACCGTGAGACTCTTGTCATTGGCATCACATGTGTGCAGATCTCTGCTAAACTCAAGCACCGTGTGTGTGCTATTCTCCATGGCATAATCTAAGCGGTAATCTTGCTGGGCGTCTTTTTCCAGTTCTTTGTCTGCATTTGTGAAATAGTCCTGTGGAAAACAGGAAAAAAAAAACAAAGATCAGGATATTTAAAATACATATTCTTAAATAAGAAAATAGTTTAAGACAGTTTAAAGGATCTTTCAAAGTCCATTCCTGGTTTGTTTACGATAATACCTTTTATGTAATCCCGCTTTACGAATCCTGGGACTTCCTAATGGGCTGGATTATTACATATTGAGAGTTGATTATCTAGGAAACAAGTCTACGTTTAAACAACTGGCCTTCTGTGAACAGCAATATAGATCCATGTTACCCACAAAGCATCAGAAATGAACTCCTCTCTGAGGTCACTGTGTGGGTTTCTTCTGGTGTGCAAATGAAAAGGGGAGACAGGCACTATGTAATGGCTTATCCCCACAAGAGAGAGTCAGCAGCAAAACCAGAGCCAACCCCAGGGTGAGCCCTCTCTGCTCTTAGGCCTCCTATAGCATCCCATCATCCATAACTGAGGGGAGTCACTGGTAATTTCAAAACAAACTTTAAGGGCACATGCTCATTACAATGAAATGCAAAACATACAAAGAAAAGAAATTACTAAATTATGAGGTATTGACAACTGAAAACAATCTAGTTTTGTGGATCATTTCTGGGATGCAGACAGGAACAGTGAAGGGAGGAACGAGGGCTTGAAGCCAAATGACCCAAATTTGACCCCCAGCTGTCCTGGTGAATGGCTTTGGAGGATATTAGAAGTCAAAATTCTAAGATCTTTGGAGGATAGCAAAGTGGGGTAGCATGTATTTCTGTTGTAGATTTTGAAATAGTATATAGCTTACCATACTAAAAAGGATCAAAATAAAGGTGTTCATTTTTATTGCTTAGCAAAAATACAGTTTTCTGTATAGTTTAATTATGTGTTTCAAATTCTAATGTATTTTATTTTTGAAAAAGATCATGTTGTGTTAGAATATACACAGCATAACATAACTTTGATGACTATAACTGACACTAAATTACATCTGAAGAATTGATTGGGCTAGACTCAGAAAACACAACACAAGAAAAGCTACATCTGAGAGAAGTACTTGAGTGACATTTGGTGAGTTTTACCAAATGTGTAGAAGTGGACAACCAAGGTCTAGATATGCAGGGTCTTTTAATGCAAGAATGCCTCAGATAACTGGCAACAGAGTCTAACCAGCTTTTATTTATGTCACACTCCAGCAGTGGGTAACAACTGCAACCTGTATGCACACTATACTCCAGGGTCTGCTGCAGCGTGAGAGATGTACAACAGATCAATGAGATGGAACCATTTTCCCATCTGCAAACAACACTGAAGCAAGGTGCGCAGGATCATCCAACTGGAAATGTTAACAGCAACATTCAGATGCTGTCAGCCACTGTTAAAGGCCTAGTCTATTCCCCATTGATCTCTGGCCCTATTGAGCCCTCCCACTCCCTAAGGAATGGCTTCAGAATTGCCAGCTTTTAATCAATATCACCAAAGCCCATTTGACTGTTTCAAGTGCAATGAATCTAACTTGAACCTTGTATTTCCACCCCCAGTATGTGCAGGTTTTCCAGATTGTCTTTAACAATTCTGACACTCTTCCAGATACCCAGATTCAAAGCTCTCATCTTTTTTAACTTTTCCCCATGACTCCTCTCTGTACAGACAGCTTCCACTCCTATCAAGTCAGACTTTGAAAAACTTAATCCACCTTGGTCTATTTCATTTTAATAACTCATTTCCAACCCTATCAATTAAACAAGTCTGCCAAGGTTTGCTTGGAGATGTCACTGCATTTCTCTCAGTATGCCATTGTATTTTATTCAATGGCATGCACTACAACATACTAAAATCTAGAGTCCAGGTTCCTTGTTTCCCTCAAACTTAGGCTAACCTAGTGTTTTACAGTTGTTATGATTAATAATAATATATGCTCACTGTACATCATTTCCTTCAAATATTTACATATCAGCTTTTTGCCTTGTTCACATTCTTCCTTTCTATCTCTCTAGTCTCTGACTGTAACTGAGATCCTCTCTCTCCACTAACATCACCCACAGAAGGTATTTCTTTACTTCAAAACTCATCGTTCTATTTCTCTATACAGTTTACAGCGATCATCCCAACAGGAAAAGTTTGCTGCCTATCCAAATCTCTATTCTTCTCCTTGTATCCTAGGTAACAAGTAATACTTTCTAGAAACTGGAAAACCATCTCAAGCCAGAGGTAGTTAACTGCCAAGAGATGGACAACTAATCCTCTTAATCTAAATATATATTTCTACATTTAAAATGGTCAATCATATTTTAAATGGAACCACCAAAGGTGATCTAATATATTATGTTGATACATCCTGTCATTAAGCACATCTCTAAAACCCAGTGTAGACGATGCTGGAATAGATTAGCTTCTGGGGAGCTCAGCTTTCTGTGACACTCTGAAATGCTGTCACGACCTTTCATCCCTTGTATGAAAAGTATCTTGGGAGACTGAACTCCCAATCTAGCAGGGGGAGTCTACGAGGTGACTACTTTACACAGTGAGGACATTTTAAAGAAGAAAGAAAAAAAAAGACGCATCTGGTATGTGTGTCTTTGTAGCAGAAGAAACAAACTTACAGGCACACAAGGAAGTGTGTGGACAAGAGCCAAGCCCAGCCGTCACAGGGTTGTGCTGCACAACGTAAATGGCACATTGGAAAAATCTTCTTCAGGTGCAATTAAGGGAGGAAAAGGGGGAAAAGATGACAAAAAAGATCTCAAACTTTACACCTTTCAGAATTCTTACTAGGAAAAACAAAGGAAAAAAAAGAAAGAAAGCAAACACAGTGTTGAGAGTTAGATTGGTTAAACTTTAAAAAAAAAAAAGGTAGATTTGAAGAGTTTGTTTACTGACAGCTTAAGACCAGGGCAAAGTGCCATTTAAGGGTGGGGATTGGTAATCAAAGGAGCATTATTATCTTCTAGAGAGAAGAAAATGACACTGGAATACTAAAACATTAACCACTTGAGAATTCAAATATGGATAAAATGACCTACAGGTAGATATTGATAAAATGATACTGTATAATTCTTGTGACATTGAAGTTCCCAGCTTGTTTTCACTGTATCTTATTTCTTCCTTGATACTTAAACCAAACGATGCCCTGACTACCCCATGATCTACACAGCGCATGGAACCACACACACATCTGCACTGCACATGCAAGAGGAGTCTTTAGTCAGCCATCTGCCTGCAGTACTTGATGGTCTGAGACTTCAAATAAGCACAGGCATGTGACTCACAGTGCCCAGGCATTGTCATGGTAGAACGCTGAAGCCCTTATAACATTTTAACTGTACCATCTATGCCTTAAGTGCATCTATCATAAATATCACATAGATAGTGACAGATAAAAGTTCCAATTAAGATGAATTAAAAGTGAGTGGCTGGAGAGATGATCAATCAGTAAGTATTTGATGCACAAGCCCGAAGACCCTGTTTGGATCCCTGACACCTGTGAAAAAAGCCAGGTGTGGTGATGTGTAAGTGTAACTCCAACACCTTGAGGGGTGAGGGGCACAGATAAGCAGATCCCTCATGTTCATTGGCTGGTCAGCCTAGCAGAATGAGTGAGCATTAGAGTTAGATTCAGTGAGAGACTCTGAATAACAGTTTAAAAAAGTAGAGAGGACTCAAGACACCTGATGTCCACTTCTGGCCTCTACACAAACACCACCACAACCACACACACAACACAACACACTCACACATGTACATACACAAAGACATATACACACAAAGACACATATACTTTTTATTAATTCATTAAAATGGGATCTTGCAACGCAAGGAAGCTAGTGAGGATAGAGAGAAGCATAATGTCATAGAAGCTGGAAGAGTTTACGAATGAGATCATGCAGACGTTACTAACAGTGCAAGCAGAAGCGCTGACATACAAAAGCCAGGCTTGGCTGGGCTCAGTGAGCTCGAGTGCTCTGCAGAACAGATATGAAGCATGGCTAACCTGCCTTTTCCATGTTTGTGTGGTCTCCATTGATTCTGCCGCAGACACTCAGCCCAACTTCCTTATAAACTTACATTGTTTTGATTGCGGTCTATTTTACTGATCATACAGTGAGTGACCTTGCTCATACTTTACTAATAAAATACAACCCAAAAATGAGTTAATTAAACCCAACAATGAAGGTCTTCCCTAGCTGTGTTCCAGAACATATACCTCCCGACCCGTGTTCTCACACGATATTCCCTCCTGAGACACTTTATACTTTGAAAAAAATAACATGAAGTGTAGAATTGAGGCTTTAAAATGCTGTGCAACAACAATAAAGCAAGCTGCCCCTATCCGCATTTGGCAGGGAGTTGACAGTAATTATTTCATAGGGTACCACGAACACTGGCTGCCATTTCCAAAGTGATAAAATGTACCCAAAAGCTAGCTTTGCTGACAGGATCGCTAAGGTCTCTTGTTCAGAAACATGATCCCACAGATGTTCAGTTGCTTCTCGCTCGTTGTCAGTCTTTTTCCTCCTCTCGGAAATGAAATCTCTTCCATAGAATAGCGCTTTGACGGATGCTGCATTAAACAGGATGAAGCAGCAACTCTGGTGGGTATAATAAAAGATATGAATAGACTGTTTCAGCTGGGAAAGCTGGGTGTAAGCACAGCTGCAGGAGGTCTTGAGAAAAGCGTGTCTGTCTGTCAACATCTCCTCCAACAGGTGCCTGCAGTTCCTCTTCTGCTCCTAATACCCAAAGCCTATCGCATCACACATTTCTGTTTATGATACCAACTTCTGTGATGTTAGAGCCGTGTTGTGATATCGACAGTATAATAGATACTGTTGAGTTAAAGAAGCATTTGTGATCATACATGATCTGGAGGCTGTGCAAGGCTGTACTGGCCGGCTGCATAAACAAAGTCTTCACATTTCAGGAACTTTCAAAAGGAATTTCTGCACTAAGAAATCAAAATAAAATCTCAAAATAGAACTTGACTGTGCTTAGGAAACAATATCAAGCAAACTTCTCTCT